TGTGGATTTCTGCCTGGAGGTGGGCTGCATCTCCCAGGTGGAAGGTAGGGGACCTCTTCTCAGCGTTCCAGTTCTCTGAAAGACACAGCCAGCTGGGCATGGTTGGCTCACGCCTGTAATCCCAGCACCTTGGGAGGCTGAGGCAGGTGGATTACCTGAGGTCAGGAGTTCGAGACCATCCTGGCCAAAGTGGCAAAACCCCATCTCTACTAAAAATAGTCAAGTTAGCTGGGTGTGGCATCACAAGCCTGTAATCCCAGCTACTCGGGAGGCTGAGGCAGGAGAATCTTTGAACCCCAGGAGGTGGAGACTGCAGTGAGCTAAGATAGCACCATCGCACTCTAGCCTGGAGGTCAGAGCAAGACTCCGTCTCAAAAACAACAAAAAAAAAAAAAAACAAAGACACAGCCAAGGGCAGGGGTTTGAGATGGCCCAGAGCTTTCTACAGCTGTCCCACCCAGCCTTCTCTTACCCTCCATCAGACGCAGAGAGAAAGTCAGCTTCTCCTCCGAGAATACCGTGGTCCTGAAGGGCAACCAGGTGGGCAGGATGGCCTGGCTGCTCACATTGCCCTGCCTGAGAGAAGAACAGCAGCTGTGCACACCTGCCTCAGGTCACACTCACCTGGGCCCCCACTGATGGGGAATATCTCACTGCTACCCCACTATAGGATCACCAGCTATGGCCCAGCCAGGTAGCTGGTGCAAGATGGCTGAACAGACACCTTGAGCCTGAGGCTGCCCCCAGACCCTCCTGAACTTCTGCACCTGTGGGTGGCCCAGCCCTCCTAACTGATGCTATGATGCTATCTGGGCTGCTGAAGACAGATACAGCTGAAACTAGGAGTTTGGTTTCTAGACTGAGATCTGCTCCTTCTTGAGCCCTGGACCTGAGTGCAGTAGGCTCGAGCCTGTAATCCCAGTACTCTGGGAGGTGGAGACAGGAGGATTGCTTGAGTTTGAGAGCAGCCTGGACAACATAGCGAGACTCTCTATAAAAAAAGAAAAGATAGCTAGGCACAGTAGTGTATACCTGTAGTCCCAGCTACTCTGGAGGCTGAGATGGGAAGATTGCATGAGCCCAGGAGGTCAAGGCTGCAGTGAACTATGATGGCACCCACTGCACTCCAGCCTGGGTGGCAGATTAAGACTTTAAAAAACAAAAAACCAAAAAGCCACCACACATACTTTAGCCCTAGAGGTTCAGGTTTGGGGTCTGATAGCAGGCCCTGCACAGTACTCCACAGGATGCTTGAGAGGGGAATCAGTTAAGGCCATCCTTTAGAGATCAAAGATAGGCCCGTAGGGTCTTGAGATGCTACCGAGAACCTGAACCCGCACCAGTGACTGGAAAGTCCATGGAAGCAGGTCTGGGTATCTGCAGATACCTCTGCTGACCCCACAGGATCTGCTGGGAGAAGCTATTCCAAGCAATGGATGCATCTATTGATAACCAGACTCAGGTATCTGGAGCCAGGTTAAAGCATCCCAGCCTACAGCCAGCCTCTCTAGTACTGCCTGCAGCCAATGGATCAGGTGAGCCGCCATCCTCAGAGGCCAGGCCCAGACAAAGCTACTCTGAAGTCAGAGACTTCCATGGTCACAGGAGGGCTTCAGTCCCTCCCGCAGGCTGGGCGGCCTGCCCTTGATTCTTCCATCTCCACTACCCACATAGACACCAAGCTCCTCCAGTTGCTCTTAGCTCCTCCAAGTCAGCCTCTACAGCCCCTGCAACCATGGGTCAGGCCTCATCGAATTCGGTTTTCCAGCCTCCCAGCTGGTTCTCACTGGTTCCCACTTGTCTTCTGCACCAGCCACCAGGTGACCCTGGGTGGAGATTCAGTCCTCACCCATTCCAGGAGAGGCACCTGTGGTGAGGCTGGTGAGCCCATTTATCTGGCTCCCTCATTTCCCTAGTCCCTGGGCTCCAGCCCCTAGGCTGCATGTCATCTACTAGGGGCACACTGCCCTCCCGTGGGGTATGTGGCCACATGGCTCTGTCCAGGCTATCTCAGCCTCAAGGTCCCACTCCAGGATCCTGTTCTAGGATAACCCCTACCATGACTCCTCCCAGGGGCGTGGCTCATCCCTCATGTCCTGACTGGTATCAGCTACCTACCCACTTCACACTAGCATTTTCTTTTTGAGATGGAGTCTTGCTCTGTTGCCCAGGCTGGAGTACAATGGTGCCATCTCAGCTCACTGCAACCTCCGCCTCCTCGGTTCAAATGATTCTCCTGCCTTAGCCTCCCAAGTAGCTGGGATTACAAGCACGCACTACCACACTCAGCCAATTTTTTTGTATTTTTAGAGATGGGTTTTACCATGTTGGCCAGGCTGGTCTCGAACTCCCGACCTCGTGAACTGCTCACCTTGGCCTCCCAAAGGGCTGGTATTACAGGCCTGAGCCACCACACCCAGCGGCATCATGTTATACCCACTCCCAGACTAGTTCAACGGCAGGGACAAAGTACCCTGCACCCCATGCTGAGGCCAGCACAGGACCCAGCATTGTCCTTGGGAGCCACAGTTTCTCTTCCCACTTCAGAGCCTGAGTTCACAAGCACGTGTTTGATGCCAGGGCCCCGAGGACCACAGAAGAGTAGGCCACCACCGCCCAGGTCAGATTCTAGAACCCAGCCTAGCACTATTTTTTTGAGATGGAATATCGCTTTGTTGCCCAGGATGGAGTACAGTGGTGCAATCTCGGCTCACTGCAGCCTCTGCCTCCTGGGGTCAAGCAATTCTCCTGCCTCAGCCTCCAGAGTAGCTGGGATTACAGGTACCTGGCTAATTTCTGTGTTTTAAGTAGAGATGGGGTTTCACCATGTTGGCCAGATTAGTCTTGAACTCCTGACCTCAAGTGATCCACCTGTGTCAGCCTCCCAAAGTGCTGGGATTACAGGCATGAGCCACTGCACCTGGCCCCAGCCTAGCGCTATTGGAAGGCCATTTCTGAACCCTTAAGGAGGGCCCAGGCTGGCATAGTACCATCCCCGGGGCTGGGCAGCTCTGCAGCTTCCACTAAGCTGCAGTTAGGCTCCTGATGCTCTTCTGGGACTAGAACTAGACTCAGCAAGACCCCCAATCCCGCCCAGGGCAGTAACCACAGCTGCAAATGCTTCCATAGATAATTCTAATAGCCATGCTGCAAGCTGCCGCCAATAGCCAGCCCACTTGCCTGCAGCCACACCCAAGGTGCTTTTGCACCAGGGCCCATGAGTCAGTCCCACACTGACCTGGGGTAGCGGCACTCAATGGGAATCTCTGCACGGTTAGTCCTCACGATGGACAGGTTTCCCACAGGGGGTTGTGGAGCAGGAAGGTGCTGTACACCAGGGCATCGTCAGTCACCTGGAGGAAAGGTGAGAGGTTAACACTACTGGCATCACCTGCCTGGGTGTACCCAAGTCATACATAAGTACACAGGAAGGGCAGCAGGGAGGGCAGCCCACAGGGGGACAGAGAGATCACAAGGTCAAGGCCAGGTGCGGTGACTCACACCTGTAACCCCAGCACTTTGGGAGGCCAGGAGTTCGAAACTGGCCTGGGCAACATAGCAAGACCCCATCTCCAAAAAAGAACACAGGCTCTGCCACTGGTCAGTAAAGAGCCAGGACAGGTACTGTCTTTGTACCTCAGAATCTACTTCTGACACGTTGACACTACCTCAGGCAGCCTGGATCAACCACATGGCAGATACCATGCAGCAGCCAAGCAATCGAGGCATCAGGATACATGTTTCTCTTCTGACACTCCCCCTCCACACCCCCCAGTACATACAGTTTCCTCTTTCAGGAGAGGCCCAGGGCTAAGATCGCCCCCAGGAAGGAGCCAGGAAGTACCCAGCTGTTAACACTTATCAGCTTCTGGCCGGGTGCTATGGCTCACACCTGTAATCCCAGCACTTTGGGAGGCTGAGGCAGGGAGATCACCTGAGGTCAGGAGTTCAAGACCAGCCTGACCAACATGGTGAAACCCCATCTCGACTAAAAATACAAAATTAACTGGGCATGATGGCACATGCCGGTGATCCCAGCTACTCGGGAGGCTGAGGCAGAAGAATCGCTTGAACTCGGAAGGCAGAGGTTGCAGTGAGCCGGGATTGTGCCATTGCACTCCAGCCTGGGCAACAAGAGCAAAATTGTCTCAAAACAAAAAACAAACATCAGCTTCTAACCTATTCAAGCCCATTTCACATAAGATGGGAGAGACTGGTTCAGAGGTTGCCTGAGGCAGGAAGCGCACAGGTGAGTGCTACTGGGGAAATTTGCATCGTCCAATAGGGCTGCAGAAGGCAGGGCCTGCCTGGGAGATAGTTTTACAGCAAACACCTATGTTTGAAGATGTTGCTAGAATATTAGAAAAATGTGACACCAGGCCCTACCCCACTAGAATGAAGGTATGAGATTCTCTTCGAGAATCAGTATTTTTACAACCTTTCCAGGTGATTAGCATAGAGCCAGCATTGGAAACCCCTCCTTTAGTCACTTCCTAACCACTTTTTTTTTTTTTGAGATGGAGTCTTGCTCTGTCAGCCAGGCTGGAGTGCAGTGGCATGAACTCAGCTCACTGCAACCTCCGTCTCCCAGGTTCAAGCAATTCTCCTGCTTCAACCTCTGAGTAGCTGGAATTACAGGCACGTGCCACCATGCCCAGTTAAAAAAAAAAAAAGATACAGGGTTTCACCATGTTAGCCAGGCTGGTCTCGAACTCCTGGTCTCAGGTGATCCACCTGCCTCAGCCTCCCAAAGTGCTGGGATTACAGGTGTGAGCCACCGTGACCAACCCCTAGCCACCTATTCTAAGCTCACTATCCCCACCTCTCATCTCAGGGAGCTTGTTTAAAAACTACTTGAGGGCTGGGTGCAGTGGCTCACGCCTGTGATCCCAGCACTTTGGGAGGGATGAGGATTGCTTGAGGCCAGGAAGTCAAGACCAGCCTAGCCAATAGAGCTAGACCCCATCTCTACAAAGATAACTTGGCTGGGCACAGTGGCATATGCCCGTAGTCCGTCCCAGCTATTCAGGAGGCTGAGGCGGGAGGATGGCTTGAGTCAAGGTTGCCCAAGAGCCCAGGTGGCTGCCTGGCCCTGACCCAACTAACTTGATCTTCAGGGAACAGTCCTAGACCTTATTAGCAGATGCTCCAGCACAGACAGAACCAGCATAGTTCGTGGAGCCCCTTATTCACAAGTTATTACCATTTCAGGGCAGGAGGGCATTCAATTAAGCACTGAGCCCCACAGAACTGCACAGGCTGTATACCTGGGAAGCTGGTCTTGGCTGTAATTTTTTTTTTTTGAGATGGAGTCTCGCTCTGTTGCCCAGGCTGGAGTGCAGTGGCACGATCTTAGCTCACTGTAACCTCCGCCTCCCGGGTTCAAGCATTTCTCTGCCTCAGCCTCCTGAGTAGCTGGGATTACAGGTGCTCGCCCCTAACTTTTTTGTATTTTTAGTCGAGATGGGGTTTCACCATCTTGACCAGGCTGGTCTTGAACTCCTGACCTCGTGATCCGCCCACCTCGGCCTCCCAAAGTGCTGGGATTACAGGCGTCAGCTGCGGGTGATTCTTACCGGGCAGAACTGGGAAACACCACACCAGAGGAAGGAATTTGCAGGCTTTGCTCCTCATTGCAGTCACCTGAGATCCTTAATACCCACAGCTGGTCCCACACCCTTTCTATTTTAGCAGCCTGGACATCAGGATTTTTAGAAGCTCCACAGGTGGGGTTTTTTTTTTTTTTTTTTAATAAAAGAGGGTCTTGCTCTGCCTCCCAGGCTGGGATGCAGTGGCACAATCGTAGCTCACTGCAACCTCCAAATCATGGGCTTAAGCAATCCTCCCGCTTCAGCCTCCCAAGTAGCTGAGACTACAGACAGGCACCACCACACCCTGTTAGTTTGTGTTCGTGTGTGTTTTTTTGTTTTTGTTTTTGTTTTTTTTGGTAGAGAAGCGGGTCTCATTATGTTGCCCAGGGTGGCCTTAAACCCCTGGGCTCAAGCGATCCTCCCATCTCAGTCTCCCAAGGTGCTGGGATTATAGGCACCATTGCACCCCAGCCTGGGCAATAAAAGCAAAACTGTCTCAAAAAACAAAAACAGCTGGGCGCGGTGGCTCACGTCTGTAATCCCAGCACTTTGGGAGGCTGAGGCGAGTGGATCACGAGGTCAGGAGATCGAGACCATCCTGGCTAACATGGTGAAACTCCATCTGTACTAAAAATACAAAAAACTAGCCGGGCG